CAAATGCCGATAAGTTTTTCGTTAACAATACTTAAATGTCAGTTCACAGAATTCGACACAAATAATGCTAGAAAAACACCATTTAACACCAAGAAACACCGCGTAACTCGCATTACAGTGCATCGTCTCTTGACAGTTCTGCTAAAGTGTGCAGTGAGGTTAGTCTATATACCAGGCGCACTCCGAAACCAGCAATGGACGAGTTAATAATTCTCTCCCTGTTCCCACAGTCATAAACCACCGCCTTGGAAGATTCGGTCATAAACAAATTAGGTCAATATTATTACTTCTGTGTGGGCTAATACCTGAGTAAAACACAGCAATTTGAACACGCAAGAGTTAATCAGACTGTGACACAAGGCGACCATGAATTTATCGACACATGTAGGCCAATGACGGGGGTAAGAAGTGCCAGACAGCATTCTGTAAAACAAATATTCAGTTTTATCTGTCGTTTGCCTTGAGACCGCGAAACATAAAACGCCACTTCCATCCCCCAACAGTTACATTGGACACAAAAGCCTCGACACAAGATGAACTTCATGAACCTGCTCATTTTCGCCACGGCGGCGCTGCTGCTCGTAGCCAGTAAGTAAACCGGGTAGCGGATTTGCTCGTACAAAACACTGACTTATTTGAACAAAACATTCATTCGAAGGATTTTTTTATATGCACCAACATTTATCATTCCAATAATTCTGTTAGAACATTTATAGACATTCCCCCATTTTGTCTGACAGGATATTGGACTCCTCTACAACGCAAGTGTATCTTTTCTACCTTCACACTTTAAGTAAATAAAATCAATCGCACTTAAACACACTTCAGTTTGAATAACATCGCCAGGATTTTCACAGTAAGCGAGTAAAGTACTACAAATAATGAAAATTGTTGGTGACGAAATACGTGCGTGATTACAAAGAAGAACTTCGGCTCAGTGTTCTAGATCTCCTTGAGTATAACCACGGAGTAGCAATACACCGGACGCCCCGATTTAACGCCAAAAGTAAAAGTGTACCACGTGTGGCTCTCTGAAGGGGTTTCACTGCAAATAATGTAAAATTATCTTCGTAAAAGGCATGATATTCATAGGATAATATTAATATTGTTATGTCGGGCGCGATCTATGGGAGATAGGAGTTGAAGGAGACTGGATTTTGTTGGCCCAGGACAGGGTCCGGTGGAGGGCTTTGGTTAATTCGGTGATGAACCTTCGGGTTCCGTAAGCCATCTGGTTGGTTGGGCCCACTATTTGGGAAGCCTGAGGGGAAGAGACCTCTGGGGAGACCTAGACGTAGATGGGAGGATAATCTCAGGCGGGATCTATGGGAGATAGGAGTTTAAGGAGACTGGATTTTGTTGGCCCAGGACAGGGTCCGGTGGAGGGCTTTGGTTAATTCGGTGATGAACCTTCGGGGTCCCTAAGCCATCTAGTTAGTTAGTTAGTTAGTTATTACTACCGATTCCTTTATCCATGACACAAATCCAAAATACTGTTTTAACGAAAGGTCTCATGAAATTAATACAAATGTGATCTTCTTCTACTTCAGATACCGTATGTATCAAACAACCAACACCCAAAAGTGGTATTAAAAATCTTCTCCTCTAAAAGTTTTAAATTACTTTAGAGGGTTAGGACCTTGACCTGTAGTACCTAACTCCTCAACAACAAAGGATCCGTGCAACACCACTACAACTGAACAATCTGCCGAAACCACAGTCGATTAAATCCGTCACCACCATCACAGTGGAATGCAGTGGCGTGAAAGCAAACGCACAGCATCCAGCACTCAGCCCACAGAAGCAGCAAAGTCTTCTACAAGAGTGAGAAGCGCCACAACGCGGCTTACATTCTGAACACTACGCCAATAGAGCACCGAGTTACAGTAATAGCACGCTGATTGATATGGAAGAAATATGCATTGTATTTAGAAACACTGTAAACATTCTGATGTAAAATGTGCACATCTGGGCCCAGTTCACAGGCACACTGGGCCGATTAAAGCCTGAAGACATTTAAATAATAATTCGTGTGAATAAAGTACTTAAAAAATGCATTTATTCTGTCTCAGATTTCTATGTTCCACGCGCTGGGATTCAAAAATCCTATTCCTTTCAATCGACGCCCACTTCCTTATCCTCCTCGAGCACGTGTTTGACGGCGGACAAGTGCAGATCCTGTCCTACAAGTTCAACACCGATGGTGGTTGAGAACAGGGTCCTGAGGAAAATACTTGGACCTAGCAGGAGGGAAGAGGAAAGCGCGTATTGAGGAACTCCACGCTTTGCCCCCGGGGGAAAAGACCCTGGTACGCATTGGACAGGAGGACCGGTCTGGACACAGAGGCCAGAGGAGAAATCCTCTGCCCCCGTCGGGGATCGAACCCCGGTCGTGTCCAGCCCGTAGACAGCCACTATAGGCTCTGAGCTACGTCGGCTCCCATTCACGTGCTCGTGTCACTTCGAGGTGCCACCGCCCTGATGACGGAGGAAATAATATATTTCGAAACATCAGCCACTTTCTACTACGCTCATTAAATAATGCCCCACATTTTTTTTCTCAGCCAATAATGAAGATAAAAAAGTGTACTTTTACATGCTTGAGATTTGATGTTTCCCGCGTTCGTGTACGGAGTTTCAAATGATTCCAACCGATAGCGGAGCTGTAGTGAACTGTTAAAATGGCGTCTGTGAACGACTCTCGTTACAAGCAACGAGCTGTAATTGAATTCCTTGTTGCTGAAAAAGAAACGGTGGTGAACATTCATAAACGTTTGTGTGCTGTGTATGGAAGCTGTGCAGTCGATAGGAGCACCGTTGGTCGCGGGGCTAAGAGAGTTAAAGCTTCAGGAAGTGAAGAAACCGAGCTCCGTGATCTGCCGCGCTCTAAAATGTGCACATCTGGGCCCAGTTCACAGGCACACTGGGCCGATTAAAGCCTGAAGACATTTAAATAATAATTCGTGTGAATAAAGTACTTAAAAAATGCAAATTCTCTGTCTCAGATTTCTATGTTCCACGCGCTGGGATTCAAAAATCCTATTCCTTTCAATCGACGCCCACTTCCTTATCCTCCTCGAGCACGTGTTTGACGGCGGACAAGTGCAGATCCTGTCCTACAAGTTCAACACCGATGGTGGTTGAGAACAGGGTCCTGAGGAAAATACTTGGACCTAGCAGGAGGGAAGAGGAAAGCGCGTATTGAGGAGCTGCACGCTTTGCCCCCGGGGGAAAAGACCCTGGTACGCATTGGACAGGAGGACCGGTCTGGACACAGAGGCCAGAGGAGAAATCCTCTGCCCCCGTCGGGGATCGAACCCCGGTCGTGTCCAGCCCGTAGACAGCCACTATAGGCTCTGAGCTACGTCGGCTCCCATTCACGTGCTCGTGTCACTTCGAGGTGCCACCGCCCTGATGACGGAGGAAATAATATATTTCGAAACATCGGCCACTTTCTACTACACTACACGCTGATACATCCTAAAAGTTAGCAATCGTTTTACAAAACCCATCTCTCTGCACATTGTGCCCATTTAACGCGTTGGTCTGAAAACGTAACCTTAGAAGAAGGTAGTTTTAGAAGAACGTCTATTCAGGAGAACGCATTTCTCGCGGAAACTCGAAGCAGAAATGGAGATGCGTTATCGATTAGCAGCATCTCGGAGTTCTGCGTCTCGCGGACAGATGTTAAGAGTCGAACAAATGACTCCGATTCAACGTGCACTGTAACCTTTCGCGTTTCACGACAGGAGATTGATCACATGACATGAGAAGTCAGACAAGCAACCATAAAGTTTTCAAATTATTTACTTCAACGTAAAGATACGAAAATGCACATTTCCACCGTCCGATTCAAGCGTCGTTGACCCATATATTCAGTGGTATGAGCCAAGGATGTTTACATGTCATGTTTTAACTTTTCTTTTTCTGAAGGAACACGGAAATCAATGAGCCACTATTAGCTTGTACACGGACGTACGTTTGACGGTAAATTAGCGCCCGTTATCGTCAAATTGCTCACATTACGTCAGCAACTTTAACTTTCTAAATAATTTCCAATTGTATTTCATTGGCTTATTAGCCTGACTCACTACTTCATCTCTCCGTGGACGCTTCTAATCACTTGATAATTAATGTACTCATTTGATAATTACTTCGTCCAGTAACCGCGATAATTCTCACACACGAAAACTAGGTTCTTCGAATTATCTCTTTTTATCAGGTTTGCAACCTTGTTACATTTTCAAAGCAATTATTACCTACCTATACATCAAGAAAGTATCCCCTGATAAGAATATGTTGGCCTACTTAGTTTTATGTGCTAAGTTTGGCACTAATTTAGTTAATCTATTAATAATTCAACGTTCCATCTCGAAAAAAGGTTAAGAACACAAAAAATCCACACAGGCAACAAGTAATCTTGCGTGAGATAATGCGACTATAAATTTATTTTAAAATGGGTTCCACTAATCAGCAATAATAAAGATAACAATATAAAACACGTAATTAAACATCATTAAGCAAAATCTGTAAACTGCTGTAAACACGGTAACAAACGGTCAGGTTCCATAAAATGCGAGGAATTTCTAGGTAAGCTGCGCATACAACGGGATTACCAAAGACTCTGGACAACTGAGTTATTTACAATGCAGAGACGAATGTTGATATTTGGATCAGGAAATTCTCGCAAGTCTCCCCCCCTCCTCCCATGGGAAGACTGCGGTCTCTCGCTTCCTCTAATACGGAATCCACGAAGTGAAACAAAACACAATCAGTAACAAAACCAGAACGAAAGGACACTCGTCACTGCAAGAATAATTAAAAATGGCGAATTGTAAGGTGCTCCTTGCAGTTGTGATTGTGGTGACTCTCCTGATCGGTAAGTAGCGAACCCTGAGCAGAATTAATACAGCCGTTTTCGTGTTCAAATCTAGAATAAAAGAAGAACTTGAGGGTTTCTTAACACTTAAATTTCTCTTGACAAACGGCGGCCTTAAAGTTTTAAAATATATTAGTACCACGCTACAACTGTACTTTTTTTTAAACGTTCGTCTAGCATGGAGGAAACATCAATTTATTTGTAAGTCCTTACTTTACTTGTCTCAGTGAGTTTAATCTAATGCTTCGACAAGTAGGAGGGGGGAAAACGCTTTAGTCATTTGAAGCCCGAAGCTCGTCTAGATAAATATTTAAGAATTCGGTCCGTACCGCGAAGAAAACACAGCCCTCCACCATTACAAAGATCAATTCGTTAACGCTGTTTAAGGAAATAATTGTGAGATAACATGAAACCCATGAATATGAAATACAGCATTACAAATTGTTATAGCAGGTGGTAAATACAGGAACCATATTCAAGAAGTTGCATACAACGGAATTATCTAACGGGCTTTAAATGCTTGATTCGAACCCAGGACATTTGGATAAGCCACTAATGAATATGATGTTCTGGGTTGTGGGTGCCATGAGGATTTGTAAACATGTTACAAGTGTCTGAAAATACGATGTGTCCCCTATATCCGAAAGTGGGGTACCACACCCTTCAGAAAATAACTGTGTAACACTGTTTTTCAAGTTCCCTGCCAACAACAACAATTTTCCCCTACTGGCATAACAGGATACAGGAAACAAAAGACTTATCAGAATGCAGCGCAGATTAAAATTGCAACCACTAATCACAAGAATCCACTTCGTGACGATGTTGTTGTTGTTGTTCTGGGTTGTTGCGCTGTGTGGACTCGCAGTTAGATATCAAGCCCTGACGCCCTGAAGATGGATACGGTATGTTTATCCAAAACACTGTTATTTACCTAAAAGTCTACATGGCATCATAACCAGAACAACATCACTGCGAAGTACTTCTTCAGAAACTGCTAGTCGCTCAGCTAGTAAAGAAATTATCCTCTGACATGAAACATGAATGCTCATTACTTTTTTGACAAGAGCCAGCCATCGGTCTCTTAACTTCAGCCAGATCAGTCCAGTCTATTTATTTATGTCTTCCGTCTTCCTTTCAGGCTTTTGAATATGTTATTTTTTAAATATTCCTTTTTCCTTTATTTTCTATATTGCCGGCATTAGAACAGCCAAATCGCCAGCCAAGAGAAATTAAAAACAGTTCAAATGCGTGACCAAGAGTGACCTACTGTAACGGCGGGAGGAGAGGTGACTATAAGTATCGAATCGTGACGAACAATTACAAAGCGTTATGTAAACTGAAAACGAAACCCAACCCAACCTAAGCTAACGTAACCTAACGAAACCCAACCCAACCTAAGCTAACGTAACCTAACGAAAACCAACCTGTTTTAGGTTCTGAGTACTGTCGCAAGAGGACGACACCTTTTGACCCCTGCTGGTATATGAAATGTGCACCTGGATACACCTGCTCTGATAACAGAAGATATTGCGCCAGGCCAGCATGCCACCAAGCCGCACCCTCATGTGTACCGTCAACCGAATCTATCTTTTACCCATAAACAATGAGATTCTGGTATCAGAACCCAATATTTCAAAACTGATCATACAAAATTCAGCCGTGTAATACGATACTGAGCGAGTTCCATCCACTTAGAATTCCCAAAACTTATTTACCAGATATCCATTTTGATTCTAACTTCCTAACTCATACTTGGTGTGTTTAGTACGACAGCGCATGAAAAATTAACCTCTGACACAAGACAATCAAAATTGTTACCAATTCAGCAGACTGCAGCAAATCTAAAACATTACATGTGTCTCTTCAGGTGAAAGATCAAGTTTTCAAAAAAGAAAAAGAAAAAGGGAAAAAATAAGAAGAAAGACTTTACAAGACTTAATCAAGGCGTGATCTCAAACCTGCCTTAATAAAGAAACACAATGCTCATGTAGTATTCAGTGCCATCCAAATATTTGGTTTTGCATTTCCTGTTGACAATGCAGAAGTGCACAAACTCAATAAGATAATGATTACGAAGAGAGAAAAAAAAACTGTTTACATTTTACAACTTGAATATTCCAGCAAGAAAAGATTTAAGGCTGCAAGAACAGAACCGTCAGAATTAACACCTTCTTGCAAACAAGACAAAACACAGCAAAATTAAATGCCCCACGCTACGCTTACTACATCAAAACACAGCATAGACATGACATTTAAATTAATTGGTACGACAGAGCTGAATGCCATCGACTTAAATGCTGCGACAGAAAGATAACCGGATCACTTCTTAATAAAAGGCAAGAATGAAATCTGATATTAAACTAGAAGTCACAGACAAAGTGTTAACAAATCATAAATTAAATTTAAACACTGCTGGATATTTTACTTTAAACAGGAAACCCTACAGTGAACTGCCTCGTGTAGCGCCGTTTCATAGAAATTGAGATGAAACGTGTAATTACGAACAAATAAACTCACACCCACAATGAAATACACCAAACTGCTGAGTGCCAGATCATACTTTCATAAAAAGCAGCAAAAGAAATACTGAGGGCCATGTGGTTAACATACCAGTTTTACACCACAAGCCGCGGTTAAATTTGAAGACCACGTGTGTCGAATTTGGTGGACAGAGCGGCACTTTACAATCCACGAGGCCTCATCGACATCTTCAGTTTGGACTTCAACTTCTATGGGCCCAGTACAAGGAAACCTATTTTCAGAAAGAAGATTACGTGACTGCGGATATACTGCACCCATCAGCAATAACAGATTAAATTACTGTGAGAACACGGTCATGTTCAAATACCTAATACTTCCATACAGTAAACACTGACAAATAATAATAACAAACTAACCCTTTGCAAGGCAAGTGATATGTTTTTGGAATGGTATTTAATTGGTTACAAATAAACAATAAAGTTTCAACCAAAATATATATATTTAAAAACAATTTATAAAGAAACTGTAGTTACATGTTATTTATATTATCTTCAGCAATTGGTATTTCTCACTTACCTGTTCATAAACAGTTCATAATCACTCAGAATTTGGTAGCTTATTCTTACAAGCATTATATTAAGTCAGTCACTTCCGTGCGTGGCTTGATGCGACTTTAAACGACCCAGATGGCAGAAAGATTTGTTACAGACTTCACACGAAAATGGCGATTTCTTATTATGTTTATGCAAAAGATGATTTTTGAGCTTACTAGCCTCACGATAAGATTTGTTACAAATGCCACATGTATACGGTCTTTCATCTGTATGGATACGTTGGTGTTGCCTCAAGTTACTGGATCTCTTGAAAGATTTATTACACATTTCACATAAATATGGTCGTTCCCCAGTATGGACACGTTTGTGATCTGTGAGGGCGCCGCACTGCGTAAAACTTCTCTCACAAACTTCGCAAAAATACGGTCGTTCGCCAGTATGCACACGACGATGGATCTTAAGATCGCCTGACCGCATAAAGGACTTTTCACAAACATCGCAAGGGTACAGTTTCTCACCAATATGTATGCGTTCGTGTACTCTCAGATTTGTCTGCCGACTGAACGATCTCTCACAAATATCACATAAATACGGTTTCTCGCCGGTATGGACAAGTAGATGCGTTGTGAGATGACTGCGTTGGTTAAACAATTTCTTACACACATCACAAGTAAATAGCCCTTCACCACTGTGCACACGTTGATGTCTCCTTAGAGTCGCAGGTTGAGAAAATGCTTTCTTACAAATGTCACAACAGTACGATCGTCCTTTGGCACGCGTTGTTTTAATACCCTGAAAGAAAAATACTACTTTATTACCTGTTCTCTGTGATTAATCATTTTTGTAGTAGCCTTACAAAAATAAACTTGGTTTTGGGTATATTGTTAGCCACATTGATCCATTTTAAAGACAATAAATTCAATCTCACTTATTATTATCCTCCCAATGCCAACTTTCAACTGATCACATTCAATGTCACAAGTGATGCTCATCAATATGTATAAATTTGCGAAGAAAATATTTTTGTTTGTGCCAGGAATCAAAAGCTAACATCAATGCACCATTTACTTCAGAAAATAAAATAATTCAAAATAAAGAATAACATTTATTTATAAGAAGTCACAGAGGGTAAAAGTTGTAGGAATGTGATGAAAGTCAACATAAACTTTATGTAAATGTGTTATAGTACACCAATAAGGGATTGAAATGCAGTTCGTCGAACAACCAACACTACAGACCCAAACAAATTTCACTTAAATCAACTCCACAGGTCTACAAAAAAGACACACAGACATAAATACTAAAATACTGATGTTAAATGGAGGAATATAAGATGCATAATAACACAATATAATTTATTATAACTATAATTTATTATTGGAGATGGATGTTCTTTGGGATGTTGTATAATAACACAATATAATTTATTATAAGAGTTTACTATTTGGAGATGGATGTTCTTTGGGATGTTGTGCCATACAGTCTGGCAAATACTGAGAATTTCAGAGCAGCTCACTGCCTCCACCACCATGGCAATCCAACATCCCAGAAGTCAGCCACCTTCATACTTACTGTGAGAACCAGAATTTTCACATTTTTCTATTTGTTCCCCTAAACTTATTCAAAGTGAAGTGTGAAAAACACATGAGATTAGTACTACTACAGCAAAGCGAATCCACAGATCCAAATCCAGCCGATTACTGCACCCTATCAAATTATAAGCTTTCAACTTACCAACTTGTGTTTCTTCCTCCTCTTCACTGGAAATGTCTTTACTGTGGAATCGTCCTCTTTCATATTATCAAGTAGGTCATTTTCATTGAAAGAATAAATAGAATATGTTTCAATATCAATATCTGGTTCCACTTTTATAACATCCACTTCTTGCTGAGAAACAGAACTTATATTATCATGAGGGTACTGCCCCATAACCTAACAGCATTCAACCCCCTCTGACAATGGCTGGCAGTAGTTATTTTACAGTAATGTAACAGCTGCTGAGATACGTGGCCTCAAATGTATTTTTATTGTGAATTACCATCTGTTAGTTTATTTAATAACACTTTCTCAACTGCATAGGTTATGCAGGATCAAATGAGAGGACAACTGTAAATAATTAATTGGGAAATATCTTCATGGATACAATCACGGCCTATCTAAATGAACAATCACAGGGAGTGACATAAGTTCAAAAAAGTGCAAGTCTAATCTAAAGCTCACTCATAAAAGCAGGTCTTACCTCTTCTGCAAACAGTACAGGAACTTCATTTTGTGTGCAAGTGATGTGTTCTTCATTCTGTGAAGATGGAGAATAAGACTCGCTATGTGAATCATGTTCCCGTTTAATGATATTCATGTTTTACTAGGGGAAGAAAATATAAGTACTTTAAAACTTAAATTGTAAATAAATAATCAGCTTATAATCACTCAAATACTGTACATGTAATAAACGTTTGTCAGTTCAGATGGGTTATGTAAAATTTTATAAAATTTAAGTTATTAATAGGGTAAAAGTCAAGTCTGCAACTAAATACATTTTTTGATGTTTACACACACACCCATTTGCCTGCATATCACATAAAACAAGTAATAGCATGGATCAGGCTTATTGGAATGCATGACACAAGCAAAAATATAAAGAACATAAAAGACAACACTGGAATACAGTTCAGGGTAGAATCTAGCTGCAGTCTATACAGTTTAACCCAATAAAATCACTGGGAGCACTAATCTTAACTAAAACAGCTTAAATGATTGGGTAAGAATGACTATAGCTAAAATGGCAAAATACCCTCAACACCGGATCAGCATTTTAAAATCACGAAATCATTAACTACAATTACACATTTACTCTTCAGAATCTTGAAGAGTTTTCAGATTCTCACGGCTTCATTTCATTTCCTAACCTCACTGAAAATGCTTAAACCATTATGTTTATTTCCACCCTTCACGAGTGCTCATCCCCATGCAACCCCTCAATACTATAATTTTTTTCATTACCCTGCAACAAATCTTGAAATCATCCGAAATCATTAACATTATAATCAGAAGAAATGTTCACCATGTTCCATTCATGAAACAGATTATAACAAGCAGATCATTACTTCGTACCACTCAATCTGAAGAACGCAAAAACAAAAATACGAAAGAAACTTAGAACCAACGACAACGAAACTTTAGACTTTCATAAAATATACTGAATATCTTGTTTCGTGGCTTGTTATTATCAAGGAGGCCATGGATCACATAGCATGCGTACCAATCGAAAGACAGTGTATCAAGCAGCTCTGAGACATTTGCTTGCAGCTTAGGTTTCGCGGCCGGTCCATAGCCCACAAGAACTTAATTTTATAAATAAATTTCGTGAATATAATTGAGTACGGAAGGGATACATCGGTTTGTGACGCCTCTGACAAGCAACGACATTGCCATCAACTGTAAATAATTGTAGTTTAATTCAGGGTAGGACATATAACACGCATGGGAAGCTGTGGACTGGATATGTCTGGCTCAGGATTGGGTGCAGTGGGGTGGGTGGGGCTTATATAAACACGTGCAAAAGTCAGGGAATGTCTTAAAAATATGAACGACCATCAGCGTCTCAAGAAGTGTTCGTACTACGTGCTCCAAAAAGTTGGTAATCAATTCTGCTGTCAACTTGGCATTGTCAGCATTGGTTATATTTGCAACACTGAATCGCGTTCGTGCTTCTTCAGACCCCACAGATTCACACGACTTCGTGTTGATGTGAGGAACATAAAATTAAGAGCCATCAGAATCCGCAGGCCTTGAACAGCTTGATGTCAGAGATTTTTTTTAAAAATCAACGTACAAGTATTTATATTGATAACTGAAACAGGATACACAGACGGATGGACAAACACAGCTCCTTATATTTCAACAAAAAACCAGTGGTTATCAAACGCACGAAAGCGCCGGGTCTCTGGCTAATGCACATAAAGGTGGTAATGATTTCTGTTGAATGATCAGGTCTTTTCTCGCCTAGTAACTATTTGCATTAGTTGGTAATGGAGACGAACCGTGGGTGGGACATTGTTACCACACAAAGGGAATTTCCTGTGCTTAGAAATATAAGCTATTATGTGGAGACTGTAAATAAAATCCCTGACCATCGCAGTTTATAAAATCGTAGCATGGGTTTTTATTTGCGAGGCACAATAAAAATGTTAACAATGGTAGGTAACAGAGCAGAACTGTTAGAGTTACAATGACGTGACAATTAATGAAGGTCATGTCCTTTCTATCCAGTTGAAAATCACCGTTCCGTATTTCCTAGATCATAAGGTGAAATGGCGTCCACTATGAAGCTACTAGTGAAGTATGTCGTACTTGTTTCCTTTCTGCTGGTAATCTGTAAGTAACTATGTAACTATAAAATTAAATTAACTGCAAATTAAATGTTTTCGATAGAAGAAATACCCAATTTCTTGTGAAATTATTCTTTTAGTTTTCGCTATTGAATAAGTTTCACATTTTAATTACTTGAGATGTAGCTGACGTCTAATCTAAGGATGGATATATGGTAGATTTTTAGCGAAACTGCATCAAATGCAGAAGTTGTTTAGGGTAAAATTATATGAGGGAATGGTCATCTTCAGTGAACGTGTAAGGGTTGGGGAAGAAGTGGTTTTGGCCGATTTAAAAATGTTGGAGGTAGTAAGCACCTTTGAAACTTATTTACTAAACTACAGGGCGTTGAAACCCAGAAGGCAGCAGCCATCTTCATTGTCATCAGTTCTTTGCTTGGTTTTTAAAAGGGTGTCCAGAATTTTGTCTTTAAGTGGCGTTATGACGTCATTGATTTTGTTCAGATTTCAGGATTATAGACGCGGAATCGGAGCTTCAGTGCACCAAAGAATCTGACAGAGGAAATATCTGTAAGAAGCAGTGCGCAGAAGCGGAAGAATGTCGCTGCATCACGCCTCCATACACCGCGTGCTTCACAGGCCCCTGTTTGTATGCAACGTGCGTGGCAAAGCCGGAGTGATGTTCACGTGGCCTACTTCATTTTGTAAACGTTGGTACCACTGGAGCACTATTTTAGCGTAGTATTGATACATTCTGAAAGAGACTTTGTCTGATAGACTATTTCTTTCATAGGTCATTCGCTGTAAAAAAAAATAATTCTTGTAAACTTTGCACGACTCAGATATTAATTATTACTGAGGAGTAAAAACCACTGAACTCCACATTAATTTGGTTTGATTCTTCATTCAACATTTACAATGATCCTACGTTCTGACACTGTATAACCTACTCAGTTGAGAAAGTGTCGTTACGTAAACTATATAAAACTCTACTGTCGTTGTCATATCCCCGCGTCCTGCGTTTGCGTTCTATTACATTTGTGAATCAAAATAATACATAAGAACTTCTCAAGATCCATTTTAATATTGTCCTCTCATCTGTGCTTCTGTCTCCCAAATGGGCTGTTAAATGCAGTGCCTTTAAATTAAAATATTTTCGAATATGCTAAATAAGTAAAACTTCAAAATAATTTATAAAGTTCATCCATGGGGTGTGTTGGCTTCCAATTCGTTTTAATTTATTTCTGTTACCCTTACCCGGCATGCGTCCATGGGGATGAATCAAAAGAAAATTCTATTCTTGCAATCCTTAAATGACAGAAGTCAGTAAGGGTTGCGCGATTTTCAAAAATCCTGGACCACAGATTGCGAGGATGACATGATATGATTATTAGATACGGAACTCGAAATAAATATTTTCATACCGATATATCGACTGTTTCGTCTAATTCATGAAATTGTAACGCCACATTTCACTTTGTAACATGCGTCTCGCAAATGAGATTCTTTCTCGGCAAAATGACGAATAAATCTCGAGTTCCCATTTCACATGCTACAAGTCTGACCAATCACATTATTCTTGCTTTCATAATTCAGCTAAACGACATAAATATTGTGTTCCATTTTTTTTTAAATACTTTCGACCCATTTTCTCCTACAGAAATCAAGACATAAAGTTTACGATTAAAATTGCGAATTTATATAAATAGCTTTCAGACTAGTCCTTGGAAAGAGGACAATTATAATGTGGGTCGATAAGGTTTAAAATTTATACAATCCACAATTCGAAATCGTCAAGTTTATTTGACAAAATATTACAATCAACACATCAACGTTGAAGGCAGATAATAAGGAACATGTTCAGGAACATGTTCAGGAACATGGCACAGCCCTTGTACGCAGGACATGTTGGGATGAGGGGCGATGTGCTGGAACTGCGTCTCTTCACTGTCTTATTCTGTGGAAAAAAATAAATATAATTAGATTTATTGTATTAATATTATTATTGTTGTTGTTGTTATCGCTTAAAATCATGGTGGATAGCAAATATACGGCGGCACAACCTATGGATTCGTCTGAGCAGGATTTGTTGCCTCGGCGGGACGTGACGTCATTGGGAGGTCCCAAGGTCAACGTACCCAAATCCTGCAAGGACTCTCTGTCATCTGACAGATTTTCTACTGCGATTGTGTCGCATAAATGAATTTCATTCTGAGGTGACCGTGTTACCTGGACTTCCCGTTACTTCAATTTGGGTGCCTGGGTCTCCTGACGACGGCATTGCTTCTGGGAAGGAGAGGTTTAAACTTCCTGGCTCGGCTGACTCGTTCGAGGAGTGGTTCACATAGATTGGATTTCTGAACACTTGTTGTAAAACTGTTGTAGCAAAAAGGGTGAGAATAAAGTCACTTTCTGTCTCTCGTTTCTCCCCGGACGTCACTCCCGCAGATACAGAAGACTCGCTCAAAGACCAACCAAAGGTGACGTCACTTACCTGCACCAAGTGGTTTTTCCATGTCTACTAGCCAAAAGAATTTAAATTTGTTCGACATTTATTACTAAAACGTCAGGACCCAACAACTCGAATTATACGACAACGTCTGGTATTCTGGTCATAGTGCCATATGTTTAATTGAGACATGGCCAAACTACTCGTGTTACGATCACGACAAGGAAGTGGAACTAACCTGCAGATTCGCGCACACAATACGGTATTTTACATATTTCCTCGCCGCAAACACTATCTGCTTCTCCACAGGTAAAACCCGGATCACACCGGACTTCGTCACAAAGTGTCGGCGTTTTATCAGGGAAACAATCCCTCGGAGGCACTAGACAAATTACAGAGATTTTAGAAAACTTAAAAAATTGTGACTAGCATTCTAGAGCTAACACAACCAGGCTACTACTGTTAATGCTACTGTTAATTAAATAATTCAATAATATATAATACAAATAAATCCAGATTCAGATCACAGATCCATACTTACACATCACAAGGATAAGTTCTGAAAGCACCAAAGAAGCAGCAAGCAACTTCATAGTAGCGGTTGTCCTAGAACTCGGAGTGCTCATAAGTGGCTTCAGCCTCGGTGTATATACACTCCGGTTATCAACTCACTTCCCTTCGTCGGACTGGTCTTACCTCCAGACTGACCAAAGTAAAAAAAAAACCCTCCTGAATCGTTATCTTAAAAGTGACCTACTTATTCACGGCATAATTTCAGTTTTGCATAAACAAGTTTGGGGGAACGGAAAGCCTCGGGAGCGGACGATCGTCGTACGTCTTCACACCCCGATGACCGCCAAGGCACACACAGGCAACGGACAGGCGCTGGTCGCCATTAATAAGACACTCGGGCTGTTTGCTGCCACGATAAAATAATATAACCCTTTGCAGGGCCGGTCCCTCAGTGCGAAGGCGCCTAAACGGTAATTCAGTGTCGATATAATCGACTATCGATCCTTCAAATTGTAAATTTACCCTTCTTTCCTGTATCCCTTCTTGAATTGAAATTTCTTTCTCTGAAAAAAACAGGAGGAAACAGGAGTTAGTATAATTGAAAACAAACACAAAGTTTGATGCGATGTCATCACGTTTATACGCAACCTGATACAATCAACATATCAATGCTAAAGCCAAGAAAAATTAAGGAGGAGAAAATAAAAGCAATGACCAGGAACACGACAAAGCTCTTGTCCGCAGAAAATGCAGGGGCCGATGGACTGCAGCGCCATCTCTTTATCCCTCTGGTGTTGTTGTTGGCGTTGTTGTTGTTGGTGTTGTTGTTGGCGTTGTTGTTGTTGGTGTTGTTGTTGGCGTTGTTGTTGTTGGTGTTGTTGTTGGCGTTGTTGTTGTTGGTGTTGTTGTTGTTGACGTTGTTGTTGTTGGTGTTGGTGTTGTTGTTGGCGTTGTTGTTGTTGTTGGTGTTGTAGTCGAAGCTAAAGACAAATGCATTTATTCGTTTTAGTAGTAGTAGCATTACCAGTAAAAACTGTGAGATTCAAAGTTTCTTCTAAGTTTAATTTACAGTGTCTCTTCTTGTAATTTTTATTGTAATTACAATGAACTTATGTTTTATTTCGTTGCGTCAAGTCGCAATATTAACGACAGTTGAACCGTCACAGAGGATTGCCCATCGCCAAAGAAGTTGATGACACGAAAGTGGAACGAACCTGTGGTTATAGACACACAAACTGCGAGCCGTCTGCAGTCTCCTCGGAAGCAACGTTTCGGGCCCAACACACAGGTCTCATCTCGTCCACACACAACATCGTCACACGTGGTGCTTGGTCTATGCTCTGCAGACATAAAAATGGCCGTCGTGTTAACTTCGAACTGTACCACACATCACAACATTACACGTGTCACGGGGAAGACAAGACAAGAGGACAGATAAAGAGATCAGTGTACATTTAAGACAGGCATTTACGAACCTTTCTGGCAGGTGGGTAGAGGGTAGCATGGCGAGGTGAAGCACTCCACCTTTCGCATTCTGCACACCTCGCGATGGACACCGCACATTGGCGCAAGATGGCGGCTGAATTACGGCGGTACAGGAAAGTCTTTTAGTGGCCACTGAAAAGGAAAACAGATTTAGACAACTGTAACGCTCTGAAGCCGCGAAGTTCGTGTTAACAACATTTAAGAATTCGGTCAGAACCGCGAAGGCCTGATGGACAACGCACGTTGGCGCAAGATGGAGGCTGAATTACGGCGGTACAGGAAAGTCTTTTAGTGGCCACTGAAAAGGAAAACAGATTTAGACAACTGTAACGCTCTGAAGCCGCGAAGTTCGTGTTAACAACATTTAAGAATTCGGTCAGAACCGCGAAGAAAACACAACACTTTACCATTACAAAGATCGATTGGTTAGTGCTATTTAAGGAAGTAATCTCTGTTTGCCGTGAAAATTACATGAAACCGAAAAACACATTTTGTGGACAAAAAAGCAGAATTACGTAATGAAAAAGTACGTGGAGACACTGTTTCGGAGGAACGTATCAATTCCTTCTTCAGGCTTAAGATATCAGAGCCGATGTTAAAATGAGAGGATGTATGAAGGAATTACCCTCTACTGAGGACAGGTGTGTACAAACCTTGCGTGTACACTCGGAAACAATAGGGCACGGGGTTGCAGTGTGTCCCGTAGCAACGAACTTGCTGCATTCTGCACACTGTACCCAATGGACACCGCACAGTAGCGCAAGATGGCGGGTAGCTGAGGTAGCAGTAACTTCCTTCCGGTCCCACTGAACAAATAAAACTGACTGTAGAAAATTTTAACAAGAAGACGCACAGGCCTATTTGCGTTCATTAGCCTATTATTGTTGTTGTTGTTGCTATTATTGACGCTTCTGCTACTACTAATACTACCAAATTCTAGTATATTAATGCTAAAAGACGCAAATCGCTTAACTAATGTACGTAACACTGAACTATCTCCGAGCTGATGGTTCTAATTCAGAACTCACCCATCATCACCAAGACGGCTGATACAAACAGAGAAGCAACGGGCAGCGTCATAGTGACGGTTGTTCTAGCACCAGTGCAAAGTTTCCACGTAATTTATGTTCTTAAGTCCGGATTATATATACTTACCTCTGACTTCCTGCCCAGTCTTTTACGGATGTTTTGCCTTATAAAATGGCAACATAAACGCCTTCAGATGACTTTTTGTGGAGTTTAGAACGATGGTTTATTCCACTTCATAACATTTAGGCTATTGACAGATAAAGAAACGAAAACAACAGAATGTGAATGCCCTTATTTAGTGAGTCCCCCAAAGCCGCATGGAAAAGGGGCCCAGCGTTGGGCGCCGCTTCTAACCTAACCCTAACCTCCGTTTGCTCTGATGGAATGGCATTACTTTTGCACTGACGGTCTCTCGATACGAAGGTACGGAAACGGAAATGTCAGTATCGATATATCGACTATCGGTCCTTGATATATAATATTAATTTTCTGTTTGGGAACTTGTGACTGCCAACCGAGAATTTGCAGGGGCGAAATGTTACAAAAAATTCCTGTCTCCCGTTTGTGTGCTACATGATCGGTCAATCTCATTCTTCCCATCATCATCCTAACATATTTATCTGAACAATGGAAAATATTGTACTTTCTATTCTGAAATGACCTCGACTTGAATTCTACTAAAAGCGAGAGATTAAAAAATTACACGTGCATGTTTCTAGATTTAGGTCAGTCCTTGAAAAGAGGATAGCACGACAGGAGTCGATAAGGTTCAAAATACATACAAACTATGCCAGAAATCAACAAGTCTACTTGGCACAGCGTGTTAAAATCGTCACATCAAAGCTGAAGCTAAGCAAACAGCTGAATGTTCAGGAACATGACGCATTTCTTGCCCGCAGGATATGTGGGGGGGGGGGGGGCG